TGAGCAAGGAAGGCTCACTTGTGTTGGGAGCACAGAGGAGGGGTACCTGCCTTCCCCCATCACCCAATCACACAGCTTGCTGGCTGCTGAATTCTCACTCAGGCCACATGGCTATCTAATTTTTTGCTTAAGAATATTCAAGATTGTTTGTCTGGACTGGATGCTGGACTTGATGTCATAGAGGGAACTAGCCCTCATAGTCTGCTTTTGGGAGGTGTGAGGAAGGGCAGAGAGAGCTCTAGTTTGGGGTCAGGGTTATTGGCAAGATCAGGAGCTTCACCAGAGACAGTGGCTTGGCAGCTGTTTCTCTTGGGAAGCCTGCCTTCATGAAGTATTGCTGGTCCAACAATTTCTCTTCAGACCAGCAAGAGCTCAGAATCCCCTTACCAAGGGAGGAAATCACTGTATAGAGAGAGCTTGTTTCCAGACTAATGACCACAGCCGGGTCCTCTCAGCTCAGTGCATTGCTTGGGTTCTCACGGTTTTCTGCAAGTGCCAGCAGCTGGTTCCCCTCTTCCTTCCAGCTGTAGCCAAGCTCTCTGCCACTCCTCTCCCACTCACCGAGGAAGCCTGACATCCGCTCCTTCTTGACATCTGAAGAGGTGGTGTTGCCCTGACCTTCTGGCTCATCAAATCTCCCTGATAATCTTTCTCCCTCTCCCTCTTTCTCGGAGTAGAGTGGAGTGGAAAGGAGATAGCCTTTACGGCCAAAGCCTAACTCACCTCCCACCAACTTCCTTACCTGGGCGTGTGCCTTAACCTCCCTGAGCCTCACTTTTCTAATCTGTCAAATGGGGATGAGGAACCCTGCCTTACCGAATTATTGTTGTGAGAAACGGGGTTATGTGCCCTGATGTCCTTCCTACTCTGAAGTATGACATGAATGCTAACTTGACATTATTCCTTGGTCCCCTGGCAACTGCCTTATGTTTTTTTCCCCCACCTTCTGCTCTTCATAATGTTTGGGCTGCATCTAACCAGCCTGTTTCTGAGTTTCTCCAAACAACGTCCATTCTCGCTTCCCTCCTCTCTGTTCTCAGCTCATACCACCAGGCCCTATGCCAGCGATGTGAGTGTTTCCCAACCTCACTCCCATCTTTCTGTCTCAATCTCAGCATTTTCCCACATTTCTCTCCAGGAGAGTGGCTTGCTAGGACTGAGCCTATCCCCACAATGGACCATGCAAATCCAGAACAAGGCAGGCCATCACAGGAAAAAAATACTAGAATTTCAAATCTGAGCATGGTAGCACATACCTGTAATTCCAGCACTTGGGATGCTGAGGAAGGAGGATCATTAGTTCAAGACTATCATGGGCTACATAGCAAGACCCCTGTCTCAAAACAAAACAAAATAAAAAACATAAAGTAAATTATAACTTTATTTTACATTTTTAATAGTAAAAACATTAGGTTTTACTAGGTTATATCCTCACTTGGTCTGTCCATATGTCAGACCATATTTGACACATGTCTTGTTTGGCATGCAGTGTGTCCTCAGGGAAGGAGGAGGGTTCCAGGAGACTGTGGCACTCCTTGTTTGTCTTTGTCATATTACAACATAGTGTGGTTTATGGTGCTTAGTTTACTGGATTTTAGGTTGTTTGGTGTTAACTAAACCAAGCCTCACAAAGTGCAGAAGTGGCTCTAAGAAGTTCCTGCAAAGAAACTGTGGGTTCAAAATATTACAAAGGGCTGGCGGAGTGGCTCATGAGGTAGAGTGCCTGCCTAGCAAGTAGGGGGCCCTGAGTTCAAACCCCAGTACCACCAAAAGAACATCAACAACATAATACTACAAAGGACATAATTGTAAGCAATCATGAAAAGTGTAATGCTGACACTTTTCACAATGCATGACTGACTACAATGTTAAAAAAAATACCTATCACATATGACCCAAAATGTACCTCAAGAACCAAATGACCAAGAAGACTGCGAAATATAGATTTATAGCTGCTATCATTAACAACAAACCTTGCTTTAAGTGTATGCTGTGCCTGGAGAGAGCAGCTAATGATAAATGAAAACTACCATGACTAGAAAAACATTTACAGGCTGGGCATGACGGGAATTGCCTGTAATCGCAGAACTCTGGAAGCTGAGGCAGGGGAATCATGAGTCTGAGGCTAACCTAGGCTATATGGTGAGACCCCATTTCAAACAAATGAACAAAAATGTAAGGAAAGAGGGAGGAGAGAGAGAGAGAGAGAAGGAAGAAAGGAAGAAAGGAAGGAAGGAAAGAAAGAAGGAAGAAAGATTTACAATCATGGAAACACTCAAACTTGGCTGTACAATTGGATGAAAAGTGTATTTCTCACATGTCTCTTGCTGTTTGCAAGAATTGATTTCAACAATAAAACATTTGAAGAACTATTTTTTTTTGTAAACCACTAAAGAAAGGCAGAACTAGAGAACATGTATTCTCCACAGTAAGTGACTTCTTAGACAAAAATAAGCTGTTTGAGAATTGCCTTGTAAGCCGTTTGGTATTGATTTGCCAAACAGTTTTGTCAGTGTAGCCAAGTGATGCTCTGCTGGAATAAACAGGGTTTGGCAAGAGCAAGGACTGACAAGTGGGACATTGTGTCAAATTGAAAGGCCTCTGCATAGCAAAGGAAACAATTACCACAACCTACAGAAGGGGAGAAAGTCTTTGCCAGCTGTCCATCAGATTCCCAGAATATATAAAGAGCTCCAAAAATTCAACACCAAGAGAACAAACAATCCAATTAATAAACTGGCAAATTAATTGAACAGACAGTTCTCAAAAGAAGACATACAAATAGCCAATAAATACATGAAGAAATGACGACCATCCTTAGCCATAAAGGAAATGCAAATCAAAACAGCACTGAGATCCCATCTCACCCCAGTCAGAAAGGCAATCATCAAGAAAACAAACAACACATGTTGGCGAGGATGAGGGAAATAAAGAAACTCTTAAACACTATGGGAATGTAAATTAGTGCAGCCACTCTAGAAATCAGTATGGAGGGTCTTCCAAAAACTAAAAATACAACTACCGTATGATCTTGCTATCCCACGCCTGGGTATATATTGGAAAAAATGCAAGTTTGCATACAATAGACTCATGTTTATAGAAGCACTAATTCACAACAACCGAACTGTGGAATCAGCCTAGGTGTCCATCAACTGAGGAATGGATGTGTGGTATGTATGTATGTGTGTGTGTGTGTGTACACACATATATAATGTATATAATATAATATATATAATGGAGCATTAGTCAGCCATAAAGAATAATAAAATTATGTCATTTGCAGAAAAATAGATGGAACTGGAGATCATCATGTTAAGTGAAATAAAACTCAAGACTCAGAAAGACAAACATTGAGCGTTCGCTTTCAAATGTGGAATCTAGACTTAGAAAAACAAAAAAGAATGACAAGAGTGTAAAATGGGTGGACCATCTGGGAGGTGGGAGCCAGCAGGAGCAGCGAGGGTGAAAGGAGAGGATGAAGTGTGTGTGTGTGGGGGGGTGGATATGATTGAAGTACTTCATACACATATATGAAAATGAAATAATGAAACCTGATAAAATTGTTTGAAAAGGGGGGAGTAAATGATGATGAATTAGATCAAAGTATGCTATACTCATGTATGAAATATCCCAGTGAAATCCCTTTGCACAATTAATATATTCTATCAAAAAGAAAAAATAAAATAAAGTTAATTGAAAAAATAAACAAACATGAATTGGAGTCAGGTGATAGGGAGGGAGAGCGCTGTGTCACGATTCTTCACCACTGTGATCAGAGACAAGTTATTGCCCTGAGAGACAAGGCCAGAAGATGATCGCTACAGGAAGTCATCGTGAAGCTAACTTTAACCTCTCGAACCTTATGGTGTCTTTATGAAACTTTGGGTGAAACAGGTCTGTGAAAATTGCTTGTACCCCTTCAGAACAGGTGGATTTGTCTTGGCAAAGGAATTGTGAAACTCAAAGAGAAGTTCTGCTTCTTTTCTTTCTTCTTTTTTAAAAGCAGTGCTGGGGAATCAAACCCACACATGCTATGTGAGTGCTCCACCTGCAGAGTGCCACAAGATGGTGGGCACACTCACTCATCTGTCCCTCCACGTAATGGAGATGTTCTCCTTGTTTTAATTTTGTGTTAATTGTTTGGGATTTTTTTTGACTCTGTGAAATAGAAGGGATGTTGTGAAACTGAAGCAGAAAGTGTATCAATGTCGAAATACTGACAGTCATTTCCTTATTGCTCAGACAGCTCCTGTGTATCTATAATTATTTCCAAAAAAAATTTAAAAACTCAGTTGAGCCATATGTTACATGGCATGACGTGAATGTAGCAGAAAACCATACATGCAACAGTCATATGAAAAAATGATTTTTCCTCAGCATTTTTCAAAATTGTTTTTAACTGACAAAAATTATTTATACTTGTGATGTACAACATGGTGTTGTGAAATATGAATGACTAAATTAAGTTGATTACCTATGCATTACCTTGAATGTGCTGTATATGTCAATTGGCTCGATTATTTTTTGAGTACACTTAAAAATCTACGCTCTTAGTGATTTTCAAGTGTATACTACATTGTTATTAATAACAGTTGCCATATGAAACAATAGGCCTCTTGAACTTACTCCTCCTGTCTAAGGGAAATTTGTATCCTCTGACCAACAACTCCCCAAACCACTCCCTGCTTCACCTTGGCCCCTGTAACCACCATTCTAGTCTCTGCTTCTGTGGGTTGGCCTTTTTCAGATTCCACGTAGAAATGAGATCATGCTGTTTGTCTTTCTGTGCCTGGTTTATTTCACTTGATACCATTTTTAATAAAAACAAGGTGGGCCAGGAAGAGCCTGGTGAGAGCCAGACGGCGCAGCTGCCCAGGGCGATGGATGGCTTGAGGGGCTGCTGAATGGGCTGGACATCCAGACTATGCCCACTTTCCAACATGGGTGACAGAGGAGCCCTGAGGCCCCCGGTGAGACCTGTGTGTATCTTTACTCCTCAGCATCCCCACTGATTGAAAATGGCCAGCTGGAGTGTCCCCAGGGGTACAAGAGACTGAACCTCACTCACTGCCAGGGTAAGGACCTTGAAACTTTCACTGCCCCTGAAACCTCCCCCTTCCCATGTGGTCTCCATGTCTGGGAAGGGGCCCAGCCTACTTCTGTACCCACCTGTACCCTCCTCTCTCTGTAGCCTTCCTTCCTATTTTCACAGAGTTGACGGTGGCAGAGGTGTGGGGGGAATGGGGTTTGAGCTACTTCCACTGAGCCAGGTGCTAAGTACATAGTGATGGGTAAGACCCATCCCTGTCCCAGGTGAAAACAGTTACACACAACAAAGGAAGGCTCTTGATGAGTGTTGTGGGATCTCCTGGTAAGGCCCAGCTCATGTTGGGAAAATCAGGGAAGGTTTCCTGGAAGAGGTGGTACACAATCTAAGCCTTTAACAATGAGTACATGTTGGCCAGCTGAAGGGAGCGCAGGGCTTCTAGGCAGAGGAATAAACAAAGTGGCAGTTTGGGCTGGCTGAACTGTCTGAGAGTTCCCAGGCACATAGCCTGTGTACACACAGGAGGTAATACCACTCACAGGTTTTGGGAAGTTGTTGAAAGCCTTGGATATGATGTTACAGTTTAGGAGCTCCCTCTAGGAGGTGATGAGGAGCCCAGAATCTTCTCAGGCAGAGGGGAGGCAAGTCAGGCTTGTGTTAGCAGAAGTATCATTCTGACCACGGTCTGGAGATACATGGATTGGTTCCCCTCCAGCTCTCAGTGGGATTGCCCAGGCACCTCTGTCTCAGTGAGGCATCTACTAAGGAGTAATTCCCCTTTATACCCAAGCTGGGTCATCTTTCCCATTCTGTGCCAATTTCCCCAAAGCCTGTGAGTGGGCAGGTGGCTCTGATGACAGGGGTCTGCCTGAATTATCTCCTGGTGCTGGAGGTGGGTCCCCCTTACAAACCTTTCCTGTTTAGCATCTGTACTGTCATCATGATCATCAATAGAGGGACCATCACCAAGATGGTCCTTAGAATATGAGGGTCATGGCTTCCCCTTGGCAGGAAGAAGTTTGCAGCATGAGAAGTTTCAGATGTCAGGGCCAAAACTAATACAGCTCCTTGTCTGAGGAAGAGCCTGCACCCCCACTGGCTCAGGGGTATGAAGCCTGCCTGAGGTCTCATGATGGGCTGCAGATACACCCACTCCTGCTGAATCCACTCTTCCTTCCCCAGCCACCTCAGCCTTCTGCTTCCAGCTCCCTGCAGACATGCTCCCCTGGGTCTTGGGCCCTGAAGACGTGCACAGGGACATTCACCTATTTGCCACCCTCCAACCCAGACAGTTCCCTTTGCCAGTTTCCTCTGTTTGCATGTGACTTGCTAGAGTCACCAGAGCTAAGTGACTGGGAAAGTTACTTCTGGAGCCTCAGTTTCTTCATCTATCAAATGAGGACAAGTGGATCTACTAGATAAAGTTGCTTGTGGGCATTAAGTGGGGGACTGTATGTTAAATACCCAGCACAGTCTGCAGCATATAATAGGCACTCCATAAATGTTAACTCTTCAAATTAGGATGATTAATTATGTGCCAGTTATTGGACAAAGTGATTTGCAATTTTTATCTCATTTTATCCTTCTAACAACACTGTCTGATAGTTACTCTCATTATCCCCATTTTGTGAATGAGGAAACTGAGGCACAGAGAGAGGAATCACACTTAATAAATAGCAGCTCTCTCTTTTTCTTACCATTTTATTCGAAGAAAGTATTTAAAGGTCTCTGCACAGCCCTACCCTGCTATCAGGGGATGGGTTAGGCACTTGGTCATCTCCTCCACCCCCCTGCTCCCCTGCAGATATCAACGAGTGCTTGACCCTGGGCCTGTGCAAGGACTCGGAGTGCGTGAACACCAGGGGCAGCTACCTGTGCACATGCAGACCTGGCCTCATGCTGGATCCGTCACGGAGCCGCTGTGTATGTGAGTGCTGGCAGGGACCAGGGGTGGGGGATACCCTCTGGGAGTGCAGGCCAAGCTCAGAACAGTACATTTCCCCAGGCCTCATCACCCCATGACCTGAGCCCATGTTTGCTACTCACCTTGGAGTTGGGCCAATGTACACAAATGATGTGTACATCCTGCCCGAATCAGCGGTTACTGCTTCACTTTCTACTCCTGGCTCTCTTTCTGGGACTTGGCAGTTTGGGATTCATGTTTTCTCTTTCTACTGGCTTTTTTCCTCTGATCATTTCTGTCCCATTTTTTGCCCCATTGACTTTGGGAAGTCTGTGCTCTGCTACAGTGTCTGGTTGAGCCATGCCTGTCTCTTCCAGACCAGTCATGTGGCTGCTAAGTGACCTTTCTTAAGGGGCTGTCCATAGATCAGCACCCTATCCCATAATCCCATGGTCCCTCCTGAATGTGTCTCCATGTCCATGAATACATAGGTGTCACAAGTTGTGAAAGTGTGTGTGCATGCATGTCCACTCTGGCAGCTGTTTCCAGTGACCTCTGTGGTTTCCAGCTGAGAGAAGCCCAGGCTGGCAGCACCCCCAGACAGCAGAGTTGACGCCACAGTCCAGATGTGGCTTTCCTTGGGCCTGACCAGAACTGAGTGAAACCAGTCCCGACTGGCTTCTGGGATCAGGTCACCTCCAGCTCAGCAGAGCTCCCCATGGTGTATGCCAAGTCCTGGGCCTGCAAACTGCCTGGTACTGGCTTTGGGAATGCCACACAGAGGAACAAGACTCTAGTGCCACCCAGAGGGTGCAGCCATGGAAAAAGAGACTGTCTCCAGGGAGAGGAGACAGTAAGAGCCTTAGCAGGGGGTCTCAGAGAGTGAGGGGCCCAGAATGGGAAGAACACATCAGTCTGCTCTCAAGAAACCTCATGGTGACAGTGACATGTTGTCAAAGTCTTGAGGGGCTTACAACCAGGTCACTTACAATTCCTTTATCATAGGCTGGGGACTTAGCTGAAGTGGTAGACACCTGCCTAGCATGTTTGAGGTCATGAGTTCAAACCCCAGTATCACCAAACAACAAACAACCAAAAGATTCTATCAGGCAGTCATGCTTAACATCCAAGGTGACCTTTTTGTATTTGCCCCAGGTAGAGACCCTTAATACAGGGCATCACAAATGGTTCTGAGTGGTCTTTATTTTCTCTTCCTCCCCAGTGTCACTCCCTCCAGCCTCCTCCAAAGATTCACCTCCCAGTATGTGTGAAGGGGAAGGCATGTTTCTGAGCATTGCCCTCTCTCTCTGTCACCTGATCAGGGCCAGTAGAGCCATCTATGGAGACTGGCCCAGCTTTCTGATATGCCTACCTGAGTCACCTCTACCCTGGGATTCAAAGGGTCAGAGCCCTTCCTTTGAGTATCCCCAGGGAAGTGGCTGCTAGAGGTAGAACTTGCACCTGAAGATTCCTGATAGCACCATGTATGACACATGACCTTTGACAGGGCACTTACACCCCTTACTCTGTTTCATCTCCATGACACTGTGAAGAAGGTTACTAGTCAGGAGACTTTGGGTTGCAAGTGACAGAAATCCAACTCGAACTGCCTTAAGCAGAAAAGAAGTAATTAATCTGCATAACTAGGAAGTGGGGGGGGCAGGTGTGGCCTCATTGGCTGGATCCAAGCACCCACAATACCCTCACTTGCTCTGTTTACTGTGTTAATTTCATAACTCCTTCAAATGTAGCCGGCACCAGATGCTCTAGGCCCACATCTTCTCAGCCTTGCAAACTCAAGTTAAACTTGATCTCTTTTCCATCCAGGAATGGGTCCCAACCTACTTGGTCAAGTGTCTGTCCCTGACCCAATTACTATGACCTGGGGTATGGACTCTGCTTCTTTAGCCAGGAAGTGAACTCAGGATGGGAAAGGGTTGGTGCCTATAGAGAATCAGGGTGTTTATACCAGAATTTGGGGCCTAGAGGCCTGACAGGCAGAAATGTAGGTGGCAGACACCTGTGGCATATCATTCTCATCTTAATTTACACATAAAGAAGCTAAGACCCAGGGAGCCAGGCAGCTCACAGGGGAGCAGGGATTTGAATCTGGTCTGCTGAGTCCTGGTCCTGACCAGAACTTCCCCAGCATCACTAATTCCCCAGCTTTGAGTGTTGTCTTCTTTATCCCCTCCTCATCTTCCCACAGTCTAGCCTGCCCTCTAAGGATTTAAGTCTGTTTCAACCAGCATGGCTTCCTCTTCTTCCACTGAGATAGTATTCAAGAGGCTGATCTTTAATGTTTACTATGAAAGTACAAGAAAGGGGACAATTGTGGTGGTGTCGTTATGACTTAAGTCCAGCATACCTCAAACTCACTGGGATCCACAGGATTTCAATTTATAGATTCAATGGATTTGTTGCTCTTTTGTCTTTTTTTTTTTTTTTTTTTTTTTGGTGGGGAAGAGTAGTGGGCTTTGAACTCAGGGCCTTGTGCTGTCTAGGCAGGTGCTCTACCACTTGAGCCACATACCCCAGCCCATCGTGTGTGTGTGTGTGTGTGTGTGTATACTGGTGATGGAACTCAGGGTCTGGAGCATTCTAGGCAGGCACTATACTACTGAGCTACACCCCCCACCCCAGATTCAGTATTTGGTTTATTAATCTAATCATCCATCCATAGATTCAACATGCATTACTGAACACCCACATGCACCAGACACAGCAGATGGTGTCTGGTGACAAAGCTGACTGGGACAATGTCCCTGACCTTAAAGCTCCCGTCAGGCCTGTGGTTCTCACCTGTCTGATCCCCGCAGTGAGGCTGTCTGTGGTTCTCAGAGCACAGTGCTCCCCACTCATCCTCAGGCACACTTTAAATGCAGCACCTGAGTCAAGCAACTCCATGCTTATGTCCTGCTCTCAGATTCTCCATCCAAGGATTGGGAGCCAGGAGTCTCATCAGGCAGGTAGCATGAAACATCCACTGCAGCCATTCCTCCTAAAGTTCTTTTTGTTGTTTGGCTTTGGGGGGCAGGGTCTCCCTATGTAGCCCAGGCTAGCCTAGAACTTGTGAAACTCTTGCCTCCATTTCCTGAGTGCTGGGATTATAGGCATTTACCACCATGCCTGGCTCTCCTCCTAAAGTTGTGAGTGTTTGCAGTGCTCCAAACTTCCAGATTAACATGTGGGCCAGGCTAGTCTGAGTGCATGCAGCCAGCCACACCTCCATCCATGTTCCTCTGTCGGCACTTCCCCTCCCACTGGACATTTGCCCATCCCCATGTGCCCTGTCTGTTGCAGCGGACAAAGCTGTCTCCATGCAACAAGGACTATGCTACCGGTCGCTGGAGCCTGGCACCTGCACCCTGCCTTTGGCCCAGCGGATCACCAAGCAAATATGCTGCTGCAGCCGTGTGGGCAAAGCCTGGGGCAGCGAGTGTGAGAAATGTCCTCCACCTGGCACAGGTAACTCTGTTCCCAACCCAGCTCTGGGCATCAAGGCACTTCCCTACCAGCTAGTGGCCATTTCCCCCAACCTGGGTAGATCTCCCTCAAGCCAAAAGACTTAGTCATCCCTCCCTGCTTTAGTCCTTATCCCAACCTGGGGCCTCCTCCCTCCTGGCTGCCACAATTGTCTTGACCACCCAAAGGGAGGGAAAGAGGGCCCTGGTTTCCTTCACAAATGGCATTGCTCAGCTTGTCCTCTGAATGTTGGCTTTGCAGAGGCCTTCAGGGAGATCTGTCCTGCTGGCCACGGCTACACCTACTCAAGCTCAGACATCCGCTTGTCCATGAGGAAAGCTGAGGAAGAGGAACTGACCAGGCCCTCCAGGGAGCAAGCACAGAAGAGCCATGGGCCCCTGCCTGGGCTGGTGGAGAAGCAGCCACTCCGGGTGGCCACCGACACCTGGCTTGAGGCTGGGACCATCCCTGCCAAGGGTATCTAGGCTGGGGGAGATAAGGAGGGCTTTCTCTTTCCTCTAAGGTGGCAGTGCCTCAAAGAGGCCCAGGTGTTTATCCTGGGTGCCTGGTGTTTATCTCTGGGGCATTAGGAAAAGGAGCTTGGAGCAGCAGCACCCAGCCCTGGGAACCTTCTCTCATGGCCTCCCATGACAGGAAGGCTTCTTTCTGTCCTTCCCCCATATGGAGTCAAGAAGGGCCCACATCCCACAGGGTTCCTTGAGGAGGTCAACAGCAGCCCACCCAACAGTTCAGGCCTCTCCCTCTCCTGGCCAGCAATGCAGTTTCTGAGGCTGGTTCTCAATGTAAGGCCTGGAGAGCTGGTAGGTAGATCCTGGGAGTGTAGAGGCTTTCAGTCTCCTGACCTTGCCTTATGGTCAGAGCACTAACTCTATTTCAGCTACCTTGGACCCAGGAGGTATGGACCAAAAAGAGTTTGGGTTTGAACTCTCTGGAGGTGCTCTGGAAAACCAAATCATGCCCAGATTACCAAGTGCAGAAGGCCAGGAATGTATTAGGACCAGGTGAACTAGATAATGGCTAGAATTGCTCCAGAAATCTGGGACAGGGCAGTGAGGACACAATCTCAGTTGTCATGGATGCTGGACACTGGTTAAGCTAAGGGCAACTTCTTTCCTTCCTAAAACAGCTCCTCTGGCTATGGCCCAGGACAGGAGCTTAGTGACCTATGTGGCCAGGGAGCATGGGAGGGAGGAGGTGGCAGTGCATAGAAGTATGTAACAGGAGTAATAGGGGGGACTGGCCCCAAGGGGTGGGACTCCTGTCACTGGATGCCTTGAAGGAAAGCAGGAGGCCTCCTCCCACCAGTAAGAGGTAAGCTGAGCTACCTGCAGGCCTTCCAGACCTGGACTTGTGAGGTGGTTGATCCTAACATGGGTGACAGGCAGAGGCAGGTAAGAGTTGAGCTCTGTCTGATGCTCACCCTGCTGGGGACATAGTTGGAGGTATAGGCTGTGATGCAGCCAGACTCTGAGTGAAGGGCAGGCCACTGCCTCTCCTTCCCAAGCTCATGCTCTCACCTTTCCCTTCCCAGGTGACTCTCAGGCTGGGCAGGTGAGTGAGTCTTCCCACTAGGAAGCTGAGTAATGGTAACATAGAGAAAGACCTTGCAGCCATTAGGGCTCCAGGCAGAGTCCCAAGAGGGAGGAGAGGGAGAAGGGTGGAATGTGTATCAGTCTTTATTTGGAGAGATGACAAGGTGGGGGGTGGGGAGCCTGACCCAAAAACCCCGTTTGACCCTTTGGGAAGAAGGAAATGAGAACAACAACCCCAATTCTGGAGCAGCTACCACATAAACAGCCTTCTGTGGGGACAGTCAGGTCCTTTAGGAAGGAGGAGGAACTGTGCCATTAGTCCTGGCTGTCATTCAAGCTTGAGAGCTATGCACCAAGCCTAGAGCTGGCTGATTCTGGTTCATTCTGGATCTAGCACTTTCTGAGTGGGTTTACCACATGCCTCAAGGTCTCCTTCCATCAGAGGCTCATGGGAAAGTAGAGGCATGGCTGTGAATGGCCTCAAACCTCTACACTGAGCAAAGGACATCTGACCCCTTTCCCTAGGCTCATGATTCTACTGTGTGACCAGGGCTCAGCATCCTCCTAGAAAATGCTCCCAAAGAGTGGATTTACTTTATCCCTCACTAGTCTGCCAGTCCCTACCAGTCTCCTGCCCCCAAAAACCTGACTGTCCCTAAATACTGCTTCTCCAGCAGACTTGCTCTCCTCCTGGAGGATCATGTGCTGTTCTCACAGTCTCAGCCACACCTCAGTGCCTTTCTGTCCTTTGCCATTCTTTTCTTCCGCTTCCCTGCTGCCCAGCTGTCTCTGTCTGCAACTGTGGTGACGGACACACTGCAGCTTCACCATATTGGCCCTGTGACCCTGGATGCTCTAGTTAACCTCTGGATCATGTACCACTTGTGACATGGGGGGCATAGCCTTGATGCCATATGGTTGATGTTCTGCCATGTGCCGAACCTTGAGCAAGCACAGAAGACACACTGTCTCATCTAACCATTACAACCTACTGTCACAAGGAGGTAATCAGATTAAGGCCATGGGTGCAAACTGCCTAGCAGAATGCCCAGCACATAGGAAGAACTTACTAGTAGTACTTGGAATGAATGAGAGAGCTAGACAGGAAGCCTGGAGGTGGGCTGAGTGTGGGGAAAGGAAGCATGTCATGAGAGTGATAGGGAACCAAAAGTGACCTTCTCTCATTTCTGTACAGGTCACAACCAGTGTGACCCATCTACCTGCCTCGGTCCCAGGTGAGTCCCTCCTCCTAGCAGCAAGCAGGGAAAAGAGGAGGGAGGGAAAGAGAAACTTAAGTAACAGAGTTACTGTATGTGAGCTGGTCCATGGGGCTCAAATCAGAGGAGGTGGTGAAGATGTGGCCTGTGAACACTCTTTCCGGGCACTCTAAACCCCTAAGGGGCTATGAGGTTAGTGAAATACCCATGATGCTTTGCAAACATTTTCCTAACCACCAAACTTTTTCTGAATCTCATGGTGCCAGTCAGCATGTAAATCAGGCCAAAGAGGAGGCAGCTGAAGCAGCGGCTTGGTTAGGTTCCCAGAGCTCTTTTCTCCAGGGGACTCAACTTACCCCCTGAAACTGAGCTTGCCTGTCACTGGAGCTGGGCTTAGACCCCAGGAGGCTGAGTTTCAGTTTTCTCTGCCTATGACACGGACATGACACCTGTCCTGCTACCTCCCAAGGCAATAAGATGTTGGTATTTTGGGCAGAGTTCTGTAAACTAGAAGACACTTTGCAAAACAGAAGGAAAAAATGACAAAGTGGGACCAGGAGACCAGGGCTATAAACTCTGCCTCGGATAAGCTGGCCTTGAACAAGTGGCCATTTCTGTGTGCCTCAGTTTCCTTTCCCGTGAAGAGGGGAGACTGGATATGCTCTAGGATTCTCTGACTTTGTGAGGCCACGTTAATTGCAGGAGACTAGGAGGCATGCCACCCCTGGCTCTTGGGGGTCTAAACAGGAGGGAAGAGGGAATGGCCACTGCCAGCCAAGGGTACCTGCCCCCCCTCTGCCCATTACAGGGGATGCCATCGGAAGACCAACACCACCACTGCCTGAACAGGGGATTCCAGAGACTTGGGAAGAAGAGCAAGTTACCCACTCTACTGATGTGCTGGTGACACTGGGTACCCCAGGTAACCGAAGCAGCCCTTGGATGCACTCTGCCCCTATCTTTGTGAGGTGGAGTTGAACAGAGCTGACTCTAGGGCAGGATCTGGAGTGGAATCCCTCCCTTGTCTCATCAAGCAGATAAATAAGCTCCAGATGACTCTGTCCAGACTCTGTGGCCCTGGCCTCATCTTACAGAAAGCATAAGGTCCCCTTAGTGAGAACAGCCCTGCTTGAAGTGCTGCTCAAGCCCTGGATAGCAAAAGGGAAGGGACGCTTGGGGGAGGGTCTTACTCAGAGGTCTCTGGGGAAGCCAGTGATTTTTCAGGAGAGTCCTGAGGGCCCTCTTGAGGAAGGGGAACACGTGGAGCAGAAACTGAGCTCCCCTGGGCTGTTTCCCCTGAGTCAGGGAGAGCCCTGGCAGTGGTGACTGCCTGTTTACAGGGAGGCTATTTTCAGGAAAGAACACAGTTCTCTTACCCGAGGTTGCTTAAGTGCCCCAGAGCCTGTATTCTGGATGAGGGCGAGTGTGGGGGAGGTCTCTGGCAAATCCACCTTGCTTTGGAATGTGCCCTCCTCAAAGGCTCATTGTCTGGGGACTTGGTTCAAGAGAAGCAAAGCCAGCTTTGTGGCATTTGTCACAGCTGCTCCCTGTACATGTATGTGTGTCCCACCTGCCCTCTTCAGAGGCTGATTGTGCTGTCAGCCGAAAACCCAAGTCACCTTGAGCAGGAGGCAAAGGTGGAGGTAGTTGTGGATTTAACCCCGCAAAGGGAGAATCCTTGCAGCCTGGTGGAACAATCCAGAGAGTAGGAGGTGGGATTGAGCTCTGGCCTTCCTGGGAGTCCCCCGCTGACCTCTCCCAGGGCCTCTCTACCCTGGGCTCCAGAGTGAGGCACCAGGCAGCACCTTCCCAGCAAGCAGGATGGACTGGGTGAAGGGCACAGTTAGGGAGTGCTGAGTGTAATGGGTCTAGAGGAAGGGCTGGGGTTCACGGAAGCCAGGCTGGGCTCAGCAGTGCCCTCAGTCACGTGAGTAACAGAGCCCTACTACTGCCAGCCTCAGTCAGGGAATTCAGAGACTGAGAGGCTGTGCCCCTTCTCCTTGGCAACTTCCAACCTCACCCTCTGGGCAGACATTTAGAATCTGGCTGGGGACTTTCATGAGCCCCAAGGTAGACACAAACTTGAAACCAGGCCAGGAAGAGAGTGACCTTGCAATCTGGCCAGTGTGTGTGTTCAATTTAGTCCAACTATCATGAAGCCCTTCTATGTACCAACAGAGGCCACTCATGTCCAACCTATTCAGTTGGGGCTCCAGGGTTGTGTCAAAATGGTGGGGGCAGGGCAGGGACCCCTGGGCTTGTGGGCACTAGGCTAAGACTTCAGGCTGGACAGAGGATGAGAGAATCACTTGCTTATTGGTTTACTCACTCCTTCAGCATATTTTAAGTATCAGGTACTTCTCTAGCCTCGGCCATCTCTGCACGCTACTCACCAGCTCTGTCTGTCTAGGGAAGCTTGGTAGGAGTTGCCAGGGAGGGGTAGCCCTGGGCTCTGTGGGCTCTCTGTGTAATTCAGAGTGAGTGATGGAGGCCATTTGCAGGGAGTATGGGTCCCTGTCAGGAGGATACACTACTGCAAGCTCTGTCTTGGGCAGGGCTCAGCCACCTAGCAGAGATTTCATGGGTCTTACACAAGGCCATGCTATACCTGAATATGGGAGAACCTGGCAAAAATGGGATAGACCTTCTGAGGGTCCCTGAACCCCAGCCTCCACCCTGCTCCCCTGCCTTTGTCTACCTTCCACCCTGCCATAACCTCTGCTTGCTCCCTCTCCTACAGGCATTGATAGATGTGCTGCCAATATCTGTGGCCCTGGAACCTGTGAGAACCTCCTAGATGGATATAGATGTGTCTGCAGCCCTGGCTATCAGCTGCACCCCAGTCAGGCCTACTGCATGGGTATTTACAAGGGCATCCTGCACCTGCTGAGTGGGTGGGAATAATGGGAGCAGGGGCTGGGGAATTAAGTCAGGAGTCTAGCCACCAGAGGTCCAAGTAGTACAATGTGGTTGATGACCTTAGGATCACAGTCCCTGTGGACAAAGCTAATTTGACCTTTGGGAGAAGACCAGTTTGTGAGGCCTACCCAAATGCCTCCAGACTCCAGGAGAGTGGGTACCCCAGCCAGCCTCTTGTAGTCATCATCTCTGAGCTCAGCCTACCCCCTAACTGGCCATGTTGTTACCTGTAAAGCAAACCAAGTTCTCCACCAGGGCCATCCCTAGGGAGAGGTTTGAGGCCAAGCTAGATCATCAAGTCTGAGCCTTGTTTCTCTCACTGAAATATTTTGCGTGTGTGTGTGTGTGTGTGTGTGTACAAAAGAGAAGCATCCACTGTGGTCTTGAAGGAGAAAGGATATGATCACTAAGCTAATGGGGAAAAGGGACAAGGGACTGAGAGGAGGTGTTGGTAGTTACCCTAGACAACTAGTGCCTGAGTGGGCCCCGTGAGCCAACCCTGTAACTTTTAGTCTTGGAGACTTTCATCTCCCCGCTTTTCCTGCTCCTTCACCGCTTTCATGCTACACAGCACCATCCCTTAGTGAGGGCAGTTTGCTAGCAGATGCCCAGAAAAAGGTATACTGGCTTCATTGACCTCCCTCCCTGTCTCCCTCTGGTTAGATGACAATGAGTGCCTAAGGGACCCCTGTGCAGGAAAAGGACGCTGCATCAACAGTGTGGGCTCCTACTCCTGCATTTGCTACTCTGGCTACACACTGTCAACCTCAGGAGCCACACAGGAGTGCCAAGGTAAGCCAAGCCTGCTCTGGCCCTGGGGTAGGCACAAAAGAACTCATCCTAGCCACATGCAACAAGTGTTCACAGGCCCCAGGCACAGTGCTGCAGTGTGGGGACTGTGGGAGCTGTGGCAAGATAGATGAGTCTCTGGCCTGGACCTGGGAGGAAGCTGACCCTACACCAAGATCATAGGGAAGGATATGAATCCAAAAGGCAGCAATATTTGCAAAGGTCTAATGGAATTGTGGCTGGAGCCAAGCAGAGGTCAGGGAACTTGGCTGGCAGTGGGGACCAAAAGCCAAGTCTACAAACTTTGAGTGACAAGGAGATGCTTTTCTTTTAGAGAGGGCGGGTGACCCATGAGGATGTAGACCTGGGGCTTATGGCAGACTGGGGAACAGGTGTGCCTTTGAAAGCTCAGATCCCCAGCTGCTTAAAGACACCCCCAGGTTTTGACCTTCCCTGGGAAGGCCTGGCCCAGTGTTAGGGGACCTTTGGTAAACTCATATCTAACTTAAACTTTAAAAACAGAACACTTGCTGGGTGCCAGTGACTCATGCCTGTAATCCTAGCTACCCAGGAGGCAGAGATTAGGTAGATCATGGCTCAAAGTTAGCCTGGGCAAATACTTCATGAGACTCTATCTTGAAAAAAAAAATCACAAAAATGAGCTGGTGAAGTAGCTCAAGGTGTAGGTCCTGAGTTCAAACCCCAGTACCACAAAAACAAACAAACAAAAAACTGAACACTCCCCATACATTTTTATGATGAATTCACAACATAAGGGAACACCTTCCAAGTGGTGCCCTAAGATTCATAACCGGTTGAGAAGCCTTCACTTTGAGAATGGCACTGCCTGTTCTTGGGGCTCACATTTGCTGGCTCTGGCCAGAGTAGCCCAGCAGGTCGCACAGAACAGTCAGGGGAGCTATGTATCCTCCTTTTGCCAGGGTCCCCTTGGGTTCTCATCTCCCAAAGATCTGGCCTGTGAATCCCTCATTTGATTATGGGGGAAAGGGAGGTAGAGGAGACAGACCACCAAACTTAATGGAACAGTGAGAGAACCATGCACACCACTCAGGGATAACTTAAGCATTGAACACTTAGATACAGGCACTGTGTAAGCTCTGTTGATGCTGAGAGATGAGTGTGAATGGTGACATGAGCCACTGGCTCTCTCTGTAGAAGGGAATTTGGGAAGGTTTCTCAGAAGAGATGCTTGAGCTGGGGTAGAATAGTAATAGCTACCATTTAATGAGCACTTACTTTATGCCAGCACTGTCCTAAGCACTTTATTATATGAAATACATCATTCCAACCCATGCAGTCATTATCCCATTTTATAGTTTAGCAGACTGAGGCCCAGAAAGATGAGTTGAAACACCTAGGGACTCACACCTAGTCATGGCAGAACTAGAAATAGAACAAAGTCACTCCAGCTCCAAAGCATAGTTTGCTTCCAATGACACACTCCCTTCCATGCAGGGTGTTAGATACCACTGCAGAACAGGAACCAGAATGGAGGGAACAGAAGTATTCCAGGCAAAGGGAACCATTTTTACAGAGAGCAGAATTGTTAACAGGCCTGGCAAGCCCTGGTAATAATGGTGACATCAGTGTGACTGGAGTGTAGGGTCCATGGAGGAAGTGGCAGGAGTTGAGGCCAGTTCAGGAAGTGTCTGGAGTGCCAGGCCGAAGTGCCTGGATGCCGTCCCTCAGGCAGTGACAGCCAGGAGAACTTGTGAGCACAAGGGTGGTGGTTCAGTTGCTGGCTGTCAGGGAGGTGACTCAGGCAGTGGTGCTCAGAGCAGGCTGGTAGAGCCAGGGAAAAGGCAGGGAACAGAGGGCTTCTCCAGGCTTCAGCAGCCTGGGCAGGTATTATGGTCTGAAGTATTGCTCTCTGCAGACCCAGACTGGAGAGCTGGCCTGGGGCCAGCTGTGGCTGCTGCAGGGCATTGGATTGCCAGGTCTGGCCCAGAAAGGGGTTCTGATCTGTGCCCGCCTGGGTATCCTGGTGACTCTGCCAGCCCTGACAGCTGGGGGAAGGGGAGGAGCTTGCATCAGCTGAAGTGCTTCTCCCAGTGGAGGCTGGCTGCCACTTGTAGAACCCTTGTCCAGCACAGCATCCGCTTCCTAAAGCTTTCCAGTCTCATAAAGTGATGTCTCATTATTCCAACCACTTAATTTAGTATTGATTTTGAGTTAATTTATATAATTAATTACTATAAACCACAACTTTTAAGTTAATATAAAGAACTGGTTAATTAAATTCTTTAAATATTAAATATTTAAACACTTTATTATTTTAAGTTACTAATAAGTATGAGCATCTCTTTATGCGTTGACCTTTGGGTTTCCTCATCTCTCAATTGCTTGTTCCTGTCTTTTGCTCAGTTTTCATAGGGTGGTTGCTATTTTTTTCTTGTGTATTCTAGGTGCTTATGTGGATTTAGTTATTGTCTCTCTCATTTTGTCCTCTGTCCACTAACTTATCCTCATGTCCTTCTTTGAACAGAAATCCTTAATTTTAATGCTAGGGAACTCACTTTTTTTTTTTGCCTTATTGTTGATATTTTGGGGGTTTGGCTTGAGAAGTCTTTCTCTTCCCTTAAGTCACAAAGATATTGTCCCACTCTTTCTCTCATTAAGTTACACCTTTACCTTTTATTGGGATGCCTTAATTCATCTGGAGACCATCTTTGCATGGGTATTAAAATCCTGGGTGTTTTTTTTTTTCCCCATTTCCATTTTCCTCTATAGAGTCAGTTTACCCAGAACCATCTATCAGACAGCAGTCCTGGCCCCACCCTTCCAGGGGTTCTTCATCAAGTTCCCATATATGGCTCTGCCTGTGAGCTTCCTTTTCTCTTCCTTGGCATTTAGAGCTTCTCAAAGTGAAGACAGCTATTTCTGAATTGCCTGAAAAGTTGTTGCAATGCAGGTTCCTGGTCCTGTCCTATATTGAGGCTTAGGATCTCCAGAGAGGGACCTAGGAGTACACATGTGACACCTCTGCCAGTGGCTCCAAGGTATACAGGAGTTTTATGAAGGACTGCTCAACTGGAAACGCTACACATAAACAAATGATTTTTATTCAATTCTTTTAGTGAGCATTGATAAGGTCCTGTACAGGGCATAGGAGACACTGAGACAACAAGACACATTCCCAGTCATCTGGGAGAAGATGGCAAATCAGTGAACAGTTATCCTAAGGGCTGGGTCCAAAGGGAGCCCTGGAAAGAACTGTGTAGGCTGCAAGGAAAAAAATTAGCCTCACCAAAAATGAGTAGGAGACAGTGAAGCTGGTGGGTAGGAACACAATCCAGGCAAGGGAGAAGTACATGCAGAGGCTCAGAGGCAGGTCCTGTGTGGCCAAGCCTAGGAGGCATGTGGGAGACTGGAAACTAGATGAGAGAAGCGGGCAGGGGCCAGGTCATGAAAGATCTTACACACCAGGTCGAGGAGCTTGGGTTCTAAGGGGTAGGTTTTATGCCAGAATATTAATAGCTCACATTAGTTCAGGACTCACTACTACCAGACAAGCACTGTGCTTATCTTCACCTGGAGTATCAGTGTGCACAGGATTCTGTGGAGTATTTGAACCAGTGCTGGGGGAGGGTCAAAGATGAGGCCTTCATGAATTTGATGGTAGAGTAGGGAATGGGAAGTGGCCACAAGGACCCAAAGTTGATACATTGAGCCAGTGCTTGAAATGGGAGTAGGAGTGTGCTGGCCATCAAGGTG